AAACTCGAGATGAAAATTGGCGTGTAAAAAGTGAAACTCAATTGAAATAACTTAGGTAAATCCCGAAGTGTTTTCGACAAAAGGGGAAGGAACGACGCAGGCTGCTAAATCCTCACGTGCGAAATTGGCCTTGAAATTAACCCCTACCGTTGTTTTTCTGCAACGGTTTAAAAATTTTATCGTAGTTAAACTGCACGATATAGATACGCTCTTTTCTTTTGCCTGATTTTGCTTCAACGAAGCCCGTTTGAGGATGCAAAGAATCTTAAAAAACTAATTCGGCTGAAAGTTCTACGCTGAAGTAGACAGATTTTCATCATTGCCATCAGCGGTACTCTACCCCTCCCCCCTACCCTTCCCCGCCAAATGTAAACTTAACTCCTAATTCACCCGTTTACACTACTGGCTAGACTTTATGCGTTCCCGCTGAGCTGTTTAGTACTTGTACCACCACATAAACTCCAAAATGAATGCAAGTGTTCGATCTGTTACTCCAATTACGATATGCTAGTTTTCTCCAGTGATAATGCGACCTTAATTATACCGAAATATTTATGTAGAGAACGATTCATTAGCATTTGAAAAATTGTAGGGTACCTTACGAACGGAAAATTACTAGGCAATCAAACTTCAAGTGAAATTGAGGATATAGTGTCATGGTTCATAGGAAAGTTACATCCCTCTCTGTAGCGTTTACGGCGACCATAATCTAAATCCTCAAGTTCAAGGGCGTGTCGCTCCAAAACGCGGTTAACGAGGTGTTTGGGACTATTTAGCTGATCGAAATGACGATCCAAAGTTGACTGTTTGCACGAATCTTTATTCTTGAAAGGCAATCGACCACGAACCACAATCAGTGACGAAAATAACGGTTATTCTCACAGTCAATCAATCTATCGAACGATCGATCTTAAAATATCGGTCCTGTTTGTGCCAGAGGTTGAGAAAACGAAAGGGCGAAAGTTTACCAAGACTATTCAAAACTGACGAAGAACTGATTAAAGGGACGCTAAACTTGCCTTTTGTATGCGCGTGGTGACGCTAAAAGGTCCGATTACAAAACCGATAGAAATACAGAAAAACGGATCAGCATTGTAACTATGTGGCTATCTAAGATCATTCTGAAATTAGTGAACTAATCAATAATCAATCAAAAAATGAGCCTTCTGGCTAATGTCCTTAATACTCTCGGATATCCGGGGATGACAAATCACATGATTGAAGGAAAATTGCGTGCACATATATAAGTGACCTTCCAACTTCAAAGAGACGTAGAAGCGGATGTTGATACTGAAAGAAAAGACAAATTAAACTTTCGCTAACCTCTTTGTTAGATAGATATTTTACATCCCTCACATGTGTCTGTTGAATGATAAGAAATAAGTAAAAAAATAAAATCAAAAACAAAAAAAAAACTAGCGAAACAAAACAAACAAGCAAACAAATATCAAAGGAGGTTTGAATCGAAGGAAACCAACCGTCCAATTTTTGGGGGTAAAAAGAGAGAAAACACATTTTAAACCTTTAGATAACCTCCGCGTTCGAAAGGGATATTACGCAGATTTCCTTCGATAGGAAATAAAAACAAAACAAAACGAACCAGGACATGATAGGTGAACATAAATTAAAGGAACGTTGCGTGCGAAGGAAAGTGAGCTTCCGACTTTTGGGGAGAGGAAACGTGACGCAATTTTTCTTATCAGAATAAGACAGTAGGCGATGAAATCCTCACTTTTGCACGAAAAAATGTACCAGAAATTTCGTGACATTTTCATATCTTATTCATTATGAATGGAATTGAATTTGCTCTACAAGCACTTAAGTAATCCTTAAACTTTGGCTCTTATTTTTAGTCTCGTTCTTGTCTTTACATGGTTCTAATAAGTGTAAACACATAAGCTTGCCGAGGAAGCGTAACTTACCGTTGATAAGCACACACTATGTACACTAGACAACATCCATTTGCTTCTTTTTACACCAAAAATGTTACCACTTTCGTCGCCTGGCTCAACGCAGAATAGACCTCCTTATGAGTTCATCAAGTTCAATATTTTCGAGAGGAAAATTTGAAATTAACTCGAATTACTTCAATTCGAAAAACTGGACATTTGGCAAAGTAGTAATTGCAAATGTAAGGGCTCTGCGTGCGGAGAGATATACCAACACCAAACTTCAAAGGGAAACCAGAGGGGGATGATTGGAGGAAACCTTTACATTTTACATCCAGGTTTAAGTAGATGTCGGTCTGTTGTGCGGGAGGTCGAGGGTTCAAGCTCCGGCTGGACCAATATTCAGAGTCTTAAAATAACTGAGGAGAATGTGCTACCTTTCTATAATATCAAGAAATGGATAGATATTCTAGTCTTTTCGAATAAGGACGAATAAACCGTAGGTCCCGTCCCCTGCAGGGTAAGAAGGAGACGTTAATTTCCCACGCACGAGATTAATGTGTGGCGGATGTTCTCCTCTGGCATGGTATGGGTGGGAAGATAGCAGGTCCACATCAGCATAATAGCTGCCATAAAACTGAACCTGCTCAAACAAATAAAGATGAGGTGAGACGAGAGATGAGATGCTGTGCCCTCTATATTTGACTATGCTTTACAATCGAATACAAAGAGACCCCGATTGTCAAGCCAAAATCGCCGCGATCGACGAACGCATCAAGTTATTAGTTTAATTTTTTTGTTTTCATTATTGCCATTTATGAGATGATTTCTTCAACCCAGTATGTCACAATTTCTCACTTTCTGTGAATAAGAAACGACCGTAATCTCATTGAAATAATTATATTGAGGGGCTTTGACCGATGTCTGAGCATTTCTCCGCACCGAATTACAAATCGAGGTAGAAAATATTTATCTTGCTGCACGCATCTTCATAAGTAATTGTACTTCCGGGACGCTAAAAATTCGCCATTTTTGACTATAAAACGGGCTTACTTTTTGTCCAGTTCTGGATGAGGGGCTAGATAAATGAATGTACGTTAGTATTCCTGAAGGAATAAAGTTTCCATAACAAACTAAGTATACTGTCATTGTTTAGTATCAGACTGTCGTGGAATTACTGGCCGCTAAAAACGATCAGAAGGTTTCCACAGAAGGAGTAGTAAGTAATGAAGAAGTTGCTGTTTCTGACAATTCAGAAGTCTATCTCTTCGAATCCAACGAAGTGCGAGTGTTGGAATCGCTGTCTTCAACCTCTTACCCTCAAATGTACGACAATCCAAACGGCAGAGTATGAAGATGCAGCCATGACTACTAGAGTTAGCACTAAGTCTCCCCCTCCGACCTAGGTAAATACAACTAAAAAAAGTTTTCCTAGCGACAGATGAAAGTACAACTGGCCGAAGCCACAGTCGCGGCTTCTTAGGGGTATTCCTTCAACGCGGCTGCGAGTTGATGCAGATTCCCATCTTTCTTATCACTGTCATTTTACTCGAATTTTTATGATTGTTATAAATAAATATACCCCCCCCCCCCGAAAAGCTGTCATGATTGTGCTACAGATTATAACCACGAGATCGTGTCTTCGTCTAGAGAAACTCTTAACAACGATCGGGTCAAGCTCTGTCCGCATATTGAATCGTAATTGCTTTGCGTGCAAATATAATGCAATAAAAAAAAATTGCATCTGAGTAAATATGAACAAAGTCGATCAAATGTGGTATTTATTCCTAATCTACTGCGATTTTGCTACGGATGTAATTCCGTTTTTTCGTGCAGTGGCAACCTCTTTTAAGAACATACTCTGTGGAGGAAGCGATTTTGTCTTCATCAATTCCAGGATAATTAGGCTAGTTGTATGGGAGTCCTCTATGCCACTGGCGGCTTCTTAAGGGTATTCCTTCAACTCGGCTGCGAGTTCATGCAGATTCCCGTCTTTCTTATCACTGACATTTTTTACTCGAATTTTTATGATTATTAGAAATAAATCTGTCCTCCCCGAAACGCTGTCAAGTTTGTGTTACAAATTTTAACCATCAGATCGTGTCTTCGGCTAGAGAAACTCTTACTGAAGAAACGATCGGGTCAAGTACTGTCTGCATATTTAATCGTAATTACCTCGCGTCATACACAAAAGCACGTGTCAAAACATCTTGTGATTCCCGGCTGTGAGAGCAAAGCGCGTTGCTCCTTCTCGATTATCATGGGGGACAACTGCGATTTGAAACATACAACTTTGAAACAGGAAGAACATGACGTAACCTGCCCTAGCATTATCGCAAATCTGTGCCTTTGCTCAGTCATCACCCGTGTCAAATTTCACTTGCGTAGAATTCTATCTCTTTGACCACATGATAATGAGATGGAAAATAGAGAGTTGTCTTAAAACGTTGTTTAAACGTGATTTTTCGTAAAGCTGATAGAACCAACAAAGTCGATGGTAGGGGTCGGTAGCTGCCTCTTCAATAATTTCCGTTAAATCAGGTCATGATCCACGCAGGCTGTCAATATGATCAACACGATGGATTTTATAGAAATATATTTTTCGACATGTCACGAGCGTGGGATAAAGAAAAAAATCTGAGTCATCGCGAGGAATCGAACCTCAGACCTTCGGATTCCGCGCTCCCATGCTCTACCACCGAGACCATGGTGAGCAAGACCCATCACGAAGTTCATATTTGACACGCGTCAATGTGTCTTGCTCAATAACACAACACATTGTCCCGGCCAGGTCTCGAACCCTCTCGACGTAGAGTCCAGTCCGCCGACCATCGGGCTATTGCGCCTCCCACGAATAGCTCCTGACTATCTTTTCAGTTAATCCTTACTTTGTATCAAGTAATCTGAAGAAACCATTAAAGAAACTATTAAGAATCCATGCAAATCAAGGCTCAGATTTGCCGGTAAACTTGAACATCAGTCCAATATGCGTACACCGTCGTAGACCGACTTCCGAACTCAAGAATTCTTTTGGCATCTTTCACAATTTAACACAAGGATCGAGGTAAACTAACCCTATCTATGAATTACTTCATGGGTTTTGTAAAGCTGCTAAGGTCTATAACGTCCCTGAAAGACAAACTCAACGTAAACGGCAACGGCAACGTTAAAAGTAACTGCAACGGCAACAGTAATGGCAGCGGCAGCGGCAACATCAGCGGCAGAGACAGCGACCTCCACAGCGATAGCATTAAAATAACTTAACTGAGCTTTTTCTAGTATTTATTATCTAATTGTGCTTTGTAGAGTACAAATAACATCCAAAACGAGTACAAATCTGGCGCTATTTGTACTCCAGAGAACCGGTTAGACAGATTATTCGCAGCGCGCAATCGATGAATTGGATTGGGATTAGGAAAAAAAAATGGCGAAACTTAAATTTAAATATTGATCCAAGTTCATTAGATAAATCTAACAAAGGAAAGCAGATAGACGATTTCATCATTTGCTGAAGAAAATAGAAACAGCATCAATTCCGTTCCGCTTCGCATACTTCTGTCACGGACTCCTGTAATAAATATCCGCGAAATTCGCCCGCACTGAAATGATAATTTGGCGTAAATGATAATAACTCTCTTATGAAGCGTTTTGTTGTGTAGTATCACTGAGTAATTTTTAGGAGTTGTTTGTATTTTGAGGAGCCCTACGGGGTCGTCAAAATACGGCACAATTCCTAAAAGTATGTATGTATATATGTATGTAAATATTCAGCGATACTCCCCAACTAAACGTTTAATGAAATATATGTATTCGAACTTTAGTTTGTGGAAAATATCAATGATATTCAATGATGTGTGTGGTAAAGCGTTAACCGTCTCAAAACTGATTTCCATGCATAATATGTTTTTAGTTATTTAACAAATAAATTGTTATTTCGTTGCCGTTTTAGGTAGAATATAAGAGGAAGCGTAGTGGCGTAAAATAATCAAAACAGTGACGTATCTAATCAGGGCGTAGTGCACATAGGAAAATATATGTAGCAGCATGATTCTCGAGTAAACCCACGTTTGATGAGAAATTAGTGTCCATGAAGTGTTGTAGGACGAGAGAAAGCCCTGATTCCCACACGGAATTACGCATTTAGATGCGAATTTCCTTAGCTAATAAATGTAGCAATTTTGTGACCTTAAGTTAGAATGGAATAGAGGAGATATATTGTAGCAAGGAACTTGTAATGTTGAATTGTCGAAAATAAAACCTGAACCAAGTGTAAGTATACAGTCCGAGATTACTGAGCCAGCGTGTGCGGGGATTCTCAGCAACGCAAGTAAGAAATTATGCGATAGTGTGCTATTCTGAAACTTATGCTTTTAAAAATGATGATGCGAAAACAAAATAGTGCAATGTGATTAACTAATAGATATCATGTTGCCAAGCGTCTCTTCACTGATAGATCACAGATGACGACAGATCTGGTAAGAACAAAAAAGTGTCACACGAGCGAAGCTGAGTGAGTCACTCATGTTCATATCAAACTTTAAATGCTGCATTTCTCGATGTCTTTCACAACTATTTCCTTTCCCTTTCCTTACATATGATGCCTTTTCCTTACATATGATACCCGTAAGCCTCGTTGTCTACACAACTGACATTCGTAAAGGACTCTCCAACTTGTCGAGAAGGACTGTCCTTTTTCCAGCCTGTGAAAGACAGAAATATGTAAAATGCAAATGTATGCAATCATTAAAGAAATCGAAAGACCCAGTTAACTTAACCGTGGTGATTTCTACTTCGACCCAGGTTGTTACTAATATTCTTACAAACTGATGTTCGCGCCCAATATTGCACAATCGAACATGTGCACGAACCAACCCCTGATAGTGATCAGCATGTAATTTCTCCTCACAATCATAATCTTGAATCATTCATTAACATCATGAAAATAAAGAAAGTGATCTCCAACCTCAGAAGCTTTGATTCTTAAAAGAATATTTCTTTTCAGTGTTATGGGAAATGTGATGATAGGGTGTAAAGGGTCAAGCAGAAGAGGTAAGAGAGTCGACGAAAGTTGCACTATTTTCTTCAAAATTGTTGCAGACAGTGTGCAGTGTGATAGATGTTGATGACACTAGAAGTATATGGGAATACTAATGATGTCAAATAGACATCTCAAACGATTTTCCCCCACAACGTCTTGTAACGAAGGACATTTAAGACATTCACATCATCGATTCAATCTGGTGAGTTATTGTACGGAGTCCTCCGTGCTTATTTTTGAACCCCTTGAAAATACACGCAATTGAACTATAGACCAGTCAGGAACAAACCATTGAGTTTAAGGTAGTAAACTGCAGAAAAGTTAAAGCTGGAGAACATCAAACGAAACGTGTTCAATACTTACTTTTACATGGCGTCTATACCACAAGATTGCACCGATTACAGTAACAATAGCAGATACCCCGACAGCAATTGCAATTATCTGGAAGGTTGAAAGTTTAGTTTGTTTGACCTCTGTACATGATTTGTACTCCAGATGAAGATCTTAAAGAAAAGAAAACAATAAAGACCGTCAATATTTATGTTTACGTCTCTCTTGACTGCTTCATATCATCGCAGTTATAATAATTGTTATTAGTATGTATTAAAACAGTACATAGCGTTGAAGCTCTTGTTGGCTACTCAATCTTTGAGCAACTAACGCGGGATTTGTGCCTGAAAATGTTGTAACCGTTCCAGAAATAAATGAGTTAGAATCATCATTTTGTGCTATATAATCTCACTGTTTTAGTTTTTACTAAAACAAATTTTTACCTCAGTGTCTGTGGCTGGCGGTGAATATTTACCTCCAATTCAGTCAAAAGTTGTTAGTTATTATCGCCACTTTCATTTTTAATCGTTATTATTAGTGTCCTGACCTTGGTCCATTACATTGATGAAGGCCTCTTTCGATGTATTTGCTCCAGCGCTGTTTTGAGCAACACATTGGTATTTGCCATCATCTTCCTTCCTTACTGCTGTTATGACTAACTGGTGGTGAATTGTTTGATTATTTATTGAAACCTGAACAATGCTTGCCCGTGAATTGGATTCTACAGCATTAGAATTATCGTTCCTGAGCCACTTGATTTTCGGCTTGGGACGACCAATAGTAATGCAGTCTAAAGTTACATCAGAGCCGACGACAGTACTTCGGTTCCTTGGATCTTCAACAATCAGTATGGGTTGGTCATCTTTCAAACGAGAGCAAGACTAAAGTGAGTTCTTGAGGAGAGAACAAGCTGCGAGAATCCACCAGAATAAACAGAAAGAAGGAGTTTGAGGGCTTCGCATTGACAAGAAAAGTAATTGTTCTAATAAACATTTTCGCGCTCACTTAATTAACTGTTACAAGTGTAGATTACTAATTAACATCTCACACTACCTAGCGTAAGATCAAGGTGGCTGGATACTGGCCGAGTGAATTTTTTTTTACCGTTGCCATCGACGAAACAAAGTTTCGCAAAGTTCTTAAGACGCAGAAAAAAAAAAAAAAAAAGAGCAAGGCTGTTATTCAGCCAATCCTTTTTTGTTTCGCTTAGTTTAGATTTGTGGGTATTTATTTATATTCTGAAGACATTGAACATCCGAATTCGACCCAAATAAATTGCATTAGTGTCGTCTACACGTCTGTTTCGTGTATATCTGCGTGAACTACGAATTGCAGAAAAAGCTTATGTGAGATCTCAGCTACAAAGGAAACACTAATGCAATATGGAAGATAATTAACAACTGCCTACCAAAGAAGTGCAAAAGCCGCCCTATTATCCCTGACAACCCAGTTTCCTTGGCTAATAGATTCAATGAATATTTACATCTGTTGGACGTTCAGCAGCTCAGGAAGCTTACGATCTTGCTTGTGTATATAATTATCATATGGTTCAAATCTATCGAAAACAAACAACACTTCAGCTTCATCTGTTTTGACATTGAAGAGTACTATCTATCCATCAGCCAAGACCTCCTGAATAAAGCACTCGACTTCGCCTCCAACTATGACATCATTACCACCGACGAAAGAAACATTATAATCC